GCATCACGGCCGCAAAACAAAAAAAGTCTAATTTCACACAGTGACTCCGTTGTTTATGCTTGTTAAAAAACGAGATAAGTATCGGCAAGACGTCATCAATAATGCGTAACTATAAAGGGATAAGCCGTGCATTAAAGTTGTCTGTCAGGCTCAGACGGCAGCCTGGTGATAATAACAAGCTGACGTGCCGTCTGAGAACTTGACTGGTGGACAAAGGTATGAGGAAGTTGAGGCCGAGGGAGGTGGAGGAGGTGAAAAACATGCTTGTGTGAAAGATATATCAGTAAATCAGAGAGGAGTGTAGCTGCTTTTGGATGGAAAACAAAACTTCCTTCTATGGAATCAAAAGAGAAAACAGGGATATGAAGACGAAAGCAACCCCCCCCCTTCCCTCCCACTTCCCAGAGAGCACTGACTGTGTGTGTGAACTGAAACACGTAGTGTTGTGAAACCAGTGATTTAGCCTTTTATAAAAAACCTAGCCCACATTCACAGACACAGCTTTCTACAGCAGAATACATTTCCAGGGTTGTTTAAGGCCACTGTAAACAAGCTAATTAGTCCATTTAAATACCACAATTGTCAGTCAGGCAGAACCACAGACAGCCCCGTCTTTGTCTACAGCAGCCAGAGACTAAAAGCTTTCATCACCTGGCATTGTTTCAGTCAGACGTTGCACTAAAAAGACACACGGCGAGAGTCAAACCTGTAATGTCAGGTTAAAATTTGAGGTGTGGAGTTCAGTCACTCAGAAGTGAGCTGGTGCAACTGCCACACTGTGTGTTCTGTGTTTTAAAAAAAATACTTCTTTCATTCTTTGAAAATATTGAGTAACATCAAATACACTTAAATAAATTAGTTACAATTACAATGAAGTTATTAGAGGCCGAGGAAACAGAACAGGAAGGAGCGATAGACGGAAACGGGAAGTCAGCACTGAAAACTAAATGGAAATTTTTGAACAACATTTCAGATTTGAACTCACTCCTTGCAGCAGCTCGGTCAGCTCTCGTCTGCGGTTGCGGCATTTGGCTGCTGCTAATTTATTTCGCTCTCGCCTCACCCTCCGTTTTTCCTCTTCCTCTGGAGTAAGCTGAGAGAAGGAGCAGAAATTCAAAGTTGAGCAGGAATCTAAACAAAGTCATGGCTAGTACAAGCTGCACAGAGACAAAGACGAGAGATGTTCTTCCTAAATTCCGAAACAACGCCCGACTTTCCTCACCTGCTCATCCCTCTTGCGCCGAACTCTGGCGTCCCCAATAGAGCGGATGACCCCAGGGCGAGCCAGTGTGTTGTGGCCTAGCAGACCTGGCCCGCTGGTCAGGTGAGCGGCATATGGGTGGGATCGGGAGTATGGGTTGGACATTGAAGTGATAACAGTGGGCTGCACCATCCACTGCAGGTCTTGGCTGGTTGTGATTGCATTAATGGTGGGTATGAAGGCACTGTTGGAGCCGGGCATGTCAACCCTGTACTTCTGCATGGGGAGAAGGAAAGATAATTATAGAAAAGGTTGAGTGACAGAATGTATACACCTGCCTAAAACTATATATATAGTTTATATATATTTATATATTGCGAATATAAATATATATATGTATATGGGACATATTTATATATATGTAAAGTATATATGACACATTTATATATATATGTAAAGTATATATGACACACATATACTGTATATATCTATATACATATGTACTCAGAAACCTTGCAGGGGTCAAATGTATGTTTTCTGCTATTCGTGACTATTTTAATATATGGTTTAAGGGTCCTAGGAAGCCTCTCTTGACAAACAAACACTCACTGTACTGAACGTCTTGGGATTAAATGACCTGGGTGCGTGGGGTCCATTAAGGTGGGAACACAGTGGGGTCCCATGACAGACGAGCAGTGAGCGCCTGTGCGTAATTTACGCACGTCCCCATATGCCCGTTATTCCCGACTTTCCGTCGGATATCCTGGCAGTCTTTTGGAACTTTGTTTATCTGGTGACTCATTGTGTATGGGATTTGTTAAGCACATGCGGAACGCGGTCAATTCCAGTAAAAGAGGAAAACAGTCCGCGCTACGAGCCAGACAGACACAGCCAACAGTTTTTACGTCTGGGTTTTTTTTTTTTTACACCGTGGAAGATCCTGGCTGAAAACAAAGCCTGGTCGAGACTCCGGTATGGTAAAAAAAAGGATTACAAAATTAAAAAGTTCAATAGACCATATAAAACCATGATGGATCTGCTTATTGTTGTGATAAGGCTCAATAAACGGTGAGTGGCGGTGGTCATGCTCACATACAGCTGTGCCGTGCTGTGTGTGTGATAACAGGGAACCGCAGTCATGGTAGTTGGCACACAACCCTCGTTTACAGTAATGTTGCGTGAGCCTGACTCGGCTTTTCCACGCAGTCGTTCTCTGCACCGCTGGCTGTCACGGGTAAACAACACAACATTTTCCCGGACTTATATCCTTGTAATAGGAAAAATAAATCCGCCCCTACACGTTTACGAGGGCACACGCGCAGAAAACGATTCAGTTCAGTTCAATTTTACCGAGAAATTGCGACATTCGCGTAAAATGATGGAAAACCGCGCTGCACAACACGTACCAACACGTTGAAGCGGAGGCGAAAGTGGAAAAGAGCGAAACGAAGTTCCACGTCGTGAATAAATATTTAATTTATTTTTTACGAAGTCAAGCAGCGTTACAAAGTAATAATGGGTGAAAAAATAAATATTTATACAGTTATTCAGTGTAAAGTGTTCATTTTCCGGAACAATTGGTCATCACTTTAACGCCGTCTTTTCTACCGTGGCAGGTTCAAATAAATCACCTAAATACACGTTATGTGTTTGGATGTGATTCTGATCCAGCAGCTTTCAGGGACAGGTGAGAAAAAAGGAAGAAAAAAAGGGAATTCGGTATATTACATGTTTAATAAGTGTTTTCGGGAGCGCGTGCCTGTTGCATCGTCCACAGTACAGTTGAAGTGTACACTCAGTTCCACCGGAGTGTTCGCCCCAGTGTTGTGTATAGTATAATAAACGTGTAACATGCGTTCTACAGAGTTGTGGTTTACACTGGCAGGAACAAAACGAAGTTATTTAGATGAAAACCGATCGTGTCACATCTGCGCGGCGGCGTCGTCTCCCATTAAACGCAGCTCGGTCGTTACCTGAGGATGGAGCGCCACATCAGAAATAAAAGTGTGGATTTCTCCACTACAGATTATGAGTTAATTCAAATGCCTTGAGGATAAAACACGCGTCCACAGCTCCACGACTGTGTACTACTACTGTCCCGGTATCTGAGTTCCACACATTAAAAGACACGGCTCAATTAGCGAGGGGACAAAAATATACAGCGACACAAAGACAGGAGACAGAGAAGGTGCACGTCTGTGGTGGTAGTAAGTACCTGGTAGCTTGAGGTAGAGATCGGACTCCCGATCGTGCTGCTGCCGCTCGTGAAGGAATCAGGCTGAGCCGGAGAGGTGCTACTGCCGCGGGACGAGGTGTCGTAGTTCCCGGAGTAGTCCTGGTACATGATCCAGAACGGGAGAAGGTTTCAGTGGACAGCTGAACTTCGAACCTGTTCTTGATTTTGTTGTTGGTTTGAGAGAAGAAAAAAAATCCTCGCAGACAAAAAAAGGCACTAAGAGTGACGGCGTTAATGTGGAATATCCAGGGCCGGGCAGCAACAGACAGGAGTGCAGAAATGTTGCCCTACAAGTTGACTGAAACTGCGAAACCCAATAATAAATACTGAACACCTTAAAAAGAGTAATTTTTTTTTCTTTGAGCCCCCGTTGTTGTTTTTGTTGTTGTTGTTGTGGAGTTTCGGTTTAAAGCTGTGTTACACTCTAGTTCCTCTCAGGTGAGCAGACTTCAGTCTCAGGTCAGGTGAGCTCCGGTCCAATCCGCCCCACAGACACTAGTGATTCACACTGGCTTTAAACTACCTGAAAATATCGGACTCTTTGCTCTTCACTCTTTTCCGTCGCCTCTGTCTGTGTTATTTGCTCTTCACGGAAAACACTTGGATTTTTTTTCTATATCTTTTCCTATTCCCCGCACTATCAGAAGATGACTCACCTCAATGTCATAATGAAGAAGTGCGACGCTTTTTCAACACTAACGACACGACCGACGTCACGAATGGGCGTCGCCACTCGCACTAGGGAGGGGTCGTTCCCGGATAAAACTAGTGGAAATCAACTCCCGGAGCCTCGGAAGCTTAGCGCAGCGAACCGTGGTGGAATTGTTTTGATGAGACGTGGACGTGGAATAATTATAAAATCACCACATGGGCTGAGTGTTTGTGTTTCGGACGTCAGCGCCTGCTGCGGACTTCACTGTTTGTGTGACTTGCCTCGGTCCATTGACGCACGTTTCCTGAAATGGGCAGTTGCGTCAGAGAGCGAGCGCGTGTGGGTTTCCTTGGTAAAAAGCGTCAGTGGCTCAGTGGAGGGATTCCCTCCCCTCTCCAACTGACACTCAGCCAGAACGGCCGCGTCCGGATCCGGTTCTGACACCGTCACTGTGCTAAACACAGGCCGCTGAGCTGATTTCTGTTTCTTTCATAGGTTTAGGCAGTTTACGGCGACATTTCATTTTCAACGGTGATTAGTTAAAATGTTTAAAAAAGAAAAGAAAGAAGAAGAAGAGTGGAGCCTTCATTGTTTTTGGAAAATTTACGAACTGACCAAATTGTTTTTGTTTTTTTTACTTTGCATAAAGAAACAAATTTTATATAGCTCTAACTGGGTATGTTCATTGAAAAATTAAAATAATAATAACAGTTTCCTGGCGTATACCTTGGCCAAATGCTGAAACATGGATTAGTGAGTGTTATAAAAGCTTCTATATTGTTACTGCCTTAGATTATAAATCTA